CTTCAAGCTTTGGGACCAAAAACCCTAAAATGGACCATACTAAGCATAAATCAAAAGGAGTATGAAAGCTCTGAACTTTATACCTTCATTTGATGCTCCATCCCCATAGAAGCTCAAATCCAAAGCTTGAACTCCAACTCTTTTCCCTTCTATGCTCCTTCTTCACTTCAAGGACTTCACAAAGTCATCCTCAAGGGCCCTCATGCACTCATAAACCCTCATGGACGAGGATTAAAGGTTTTGGAAGGTTTATTCTCTGGGCTGGGTGGCCAGGAATGAGGCCATCTCATTCTTTATATAGGGTCACTCAAAATATTAGGGTTCCCACTCTGCGCCTAGTACGCCCAACGTACCCCCTGGTACGCCCAGCGTACTGGGTGGCTCTTGCTTAAGGATCACGCGCACACGTACGCTAAGCGTACACATATGTACGCCCAACATACTCCGCTGCAACATTTCTCAACTTAGGGGCTCTTATTGCCAAAACCCCAAACTTCCTTAGTTCCCTTAATGCAACTATGATTCCAAAGATTCGCATACCTATGGAAAGGTAACAAGATGACCTACGCTTCTAGCAACTTGCCACAATCCGAGACCTCCTCATGCCCAACTCGTGGCCCACGATCCCTGGCCACGGACCATTCGAAACAGGATGTTACAATTCTCCCCCACTTGAATTAGATTTCGCCCCCGAAATCACTCCTTGTTAACACATAGATCGGACCCAACAAACCGAGATGCACCACCGAAGGTCCTTAAACCATACAACAATCACTTCCAAGGATACTCGTTCCCACCGAGGACTCTCGGCCTGAAAGGGACAGACAACTGCCGCTGCGGTACCCAATCTGAGTTTCCATAACTGGAAACTCTTGCGGTCTAATTCCTTGCCAGACCATCCTCGGACATTATCATGTTAATCGCCCACCGACTAACAGACTCCAAGAACACCCCACCAACCCTGATTCCCTGATCGATCCCGATCGCAACTCAAAAGGACGGAAGGGTCATAATCTCCCTCTCCCTCCAGGACCTACTGCAAGGGAAATCATCAGGATCCCTTAGAGAGGATGAATCCCAAAACTCTAATCTCAGACACAAGGAAAAGGTCATGCTCGGCTGGGAATATTCTCTGACCTCTATAAACCCAATAGATGAACCTCAAATTCACCCATCCCATAACCAAGAAGGTTTCACTGATTCCCATCTTATAATAACTGTCTCAACTCTTAGTGACGCACAAGTCACGCAGTTCGCTTTTCCTCAAGCGAACACTACACACTATTGAAGACCGGATCGCCCCTGAACTCTGTCGATTTCTGCTCAATAGCTCCGTGCATCCCGCTGCACCTCCCGAATCAAGGCCCTGACCTGCTCAGGTCTATGACATCAGATGACGAACAATACCCCTCACATGGAACCCACCTCCGATTCCAGAATCTCATCTCGTCTATCCAACACACCACCAGGACTCAACTCAACTCGAGAGTTTGGTCCGACCCGTAGTTGGAATCGCTCGTTCCAATGACCCATTCAACTCATGACTTGTGACCCGCAACCCATGCGTACTTCACTTATCCAATCCCTTCAGATTGTGATGTCCACACTTTACTCAGAATATAATGATTCCCAATCATTGAGGAGACCCCG